AAGGGAGAGAAAGCCATGATATGGTTGGAGAGGAGCAGCTATTTCAGAGATACTGAATTTTGTGCAGTTCCAAATTTGGCTTCAAGTGAGGTGGTTTGTATCCTTGCAGGTAATTTCTGTGTAATCTGATGGTTGCTGTGAAGAAGTGGCAAGGATTTAACAGAGAATTATGTCTCCTTGACAAGGTTCAGTCATCACAGGATATAGAACAAGTTCCAAACACCTACTGCTAAGTCCAGGTTAGGGAATGTGTTCCAAGAGTAACATCGTCAGTGGATGTGGTATCATGGTACTTGCAAGAAAGCAGAGCTCTGAAGAACATATGAAAGGTGGTAGTAACTCTGCCTTTGCTGACTCTGGTCAGATACGGAGATGGGGTAGAAAGTACCCATACCAGTTTAACTCACAACTGATTATGCTTCAATATGTGATAGACCCAGAGTGATATTCACATGTGGGTATGTATATTATTTAATAACATGCTCAGTTGCATGAATTGCTTTCTTGTAATGTGTATGAAGAATACAGGCAGTATCTTCAAAATGGCTGGGGAAACTTTCTTGTGTGTTCATCATATATGAAACTGCCCTAATAAACCTTTGAGGTGATTTTCCCATTTATCTGGTGTTTTCCAAATCAAACTGATTCTTAATTTGATTTCAGTTGGGTAGTGTTACATCAAATGTTTCACATCAGTACATAGCGAGATAATGGAGAAAAAAAAAAAGCTCCTTAGCTTCTTATGCTCAGTCTTTGTAATATGTGACAACAGCATCAAATTAGAAGAGAAATGGGTGTTGATTTCTACTCTTTAAGAAAATAAGATTTTTATGTAAACAATTTAAAATAAAGCCTCTAATTTGCTCCCAATTTTCTAGAACATAAAGCATTAGTAATGGGTTTTATTTATACATTATCAGTTGGGGAAATTGGCCCTTCCCCATATGTAGCCCTCACTCTGCAAACATTTGCTTGCTTCCTTACCTTTGGGAATCCAGTTAATCCTCCTGAAGTCATGGAGCCAAACTGTGATTATGGTTTATCAGGCATAACTATCTACAGGTTTGGAGGTCAAGCAGAGACTTAACTTACCCTGGAAAGCATACAGAGAGGATACAGTAGGGTGCCAATGTGAGCCTGGGGTTGCAGTGCACTGTGCAGTACTGCCTTGCCAAATGCATTGTGAATTAGCCAGACTTGGCTTTTGGTTCTGAAGGATGCATGCATTTCCAGTGCTCTTCTCTAGGTAAGCAAGATGATTTCTATCTTCATTTTACGAATGTGCTTCGCATAAGGCTGCAGGCTCAAGAACTTGTTCCTAGAAGTGAAGAGCTCTTGGTTCCTGGTTCTGCATTCAGTTCACAGCAAAATGCCATTCTCCAAGAAAATCCGTGGAAATATGTACATAAATTATAATTATAAACATGTAGCTTATTGTGCCCAGTGTATATTCAGTGGTAGACAATGAGCATTAGAGGAATAATAACTAATCCTGTCTGATGGTGTGCAAGGCTTCTTACGGTGCTTTATAAATAATAATCCATTCTGTAAAAGATGATTATACTGTGTAGGCCTTGCTGCATACAGCTGCATCCACAAACAGAATTAGGTATGCAGGACCCCATCTTCCATGGGATCTTTCATGTGTTGTTTGTGTTCTCTGTTGTGCAGTTGATTCACCAGAAGGAGTTTATCAGGCGGATATTGGACAGGCACTGTATTCTGGATTTCAAATTATAATGAACAAGCAACATTTCTATTTGTTATAAGTGGAAAATGGGGGAAAGATAAATTCCAAATTTCTTTGATTTTCTTGAGGATCATAATTTCCTATGTAGATAATAGGAAATGTCGATTCTGTGGTATGAAATGCTATTATTGGTTTGTGGGTTTTGTTGTTTGCTTTGGGGTTTATGCAGACTCTTACCAGATGAGGCACTAAGGTTACCCACTGACTTTGCTATTTGGTTTTGTAAGGGTCTGACAGTACAGGATAGAAAGTGAAGGGACGCTCTGATCCAGCAGCTATAGACAGGTTTCAGTGGATGATGTATCAGGCCCAAAGGGTAAAAAGAAGTTTGGAAGTAGCTTTTGGTAGTGAGACAGCTTTTTAGCTGCTCCATCACAAAATATTCCAAACCCATTTGCGGAATGTTACCTTTACGTATTTTTTCTTCATTAAAACATTTTATGACCATCCAAGTACCTCACAGGAGAAGTTTAAAAAACCCCAAGATACCTTCAAACCCATCTTTTATAATCAAATCTCCTTCAGTCTAACTGAAAATTGTACCTGTAAATTGCCCGGTATAACAGCCTATATTGATGATTTTTGACACAATTGTCTTTATGGGTTAAGTGCAGCAATAGTCACAAAGTATTGCACTAGATTTTAAGGACTCGGTGGAAAAAGTATCATGGCTAAGCCATTAATTTATTAATTATTAGCCAAATCGTCTTGTAGGAAAGCAGTGATTTAAAAATTGACCCATGGAATAGGTAGTTGTGATTCCGTAACTAGGAAGTATGTATTCAGTATCTGTACAGTGAGACATTCATTAAATAATGAGAGTAAATAACAGTAAATATCAAGGCTACCAATTTAATTTAAAAATTTGTTAAATTAATAATTATTATATTAAATTAAAAAAAATCCCAAGGAAAAGATCCGAAAGTATATTCTACTCATGAAAAGAAATACTTTAATGTAGGAGAAATACTTTTTATAGAGACTGAACAACAAAATATTTCAAGCTAATATAAGCAAACCTCATGTCAGCCTCTGTCCCTTTCATTCTTTGCCCCAGACTTGTTTTTTTTTTGCAGTCATAATGTCTTTTCTCTATATCTAAATATTGAACAGTTACACTCTGGATTCAGATCTGCAGACACTTCAAATGTGGGCTGCGCATTCAGAAATCTTTCTCTGCTTCATCCTCTCACAAGCTGATGGTAAAAAGCTACAATAGCTCCTTTCTTGCCCTTCGTGTACTTTTCAGAGACCTAGCCAAAGAAACAGTCATTCATTTACAAGCTGGAAATCTCAGCCTTCCAAACCTGTCATGACTACCAATTTTTGCCTCTTTATATGATTAAGAGCTTAACGATACACCCATTGCATCTCTTCTAAAGAGTACAACCCCAGAGTAAATGACGTGTTTAGAGGACCAAGGTCAGAGATAAAATCATTCCTTTCCAGTTAACAAACTCATGTGAGACTCACTCAGATTTGGACAAGAAATTTCTTACAATCTCTGTAGACTGTTGACCTATTCTCTAAGAAATAACTTTGTTTTCAGCATAGACTTTCCTGTGCTTCGTACACTTTTAGATGTAAATAAAAATGTAAAGCTACAGCTGTCTATTGATAGTTTCTTAAGCTATTTTTAGGCTTTCCTTATCAAACCTTCCAATTAGTTTGTTTGGATTATGTTTGAAATGCTGCAGTAATAGGATGGAGGGCATTGATTGAGCCATTCTCTACCTGAAGCTTTAGTCGTGTTTTGGCAGAAAATTGATGCCCCTCCTTATGTTATGTAGGATCTTTTCTGTCTGTTTCTGTGCTGGAATCTTTAACAATGTTTGTAATCTGAAATAGGAGGCAGAGTGGTGAAACAAGGCTTAGAAACCACTATTTTGCAAGAATGGCTGAGTGCCTGCACTTTCTATGATGTTCAGGACAATATATCTGTATTTTAATATATGAGGAATTTAATATATTTAATATATTTAATAATGAGGAAGCATGCTATTCTATGATTAATGAAAACTGATGGGTTTAAAGTTATGGTAGTATATGTATGTTAAATATTTAGACTATACTTTGTAGCTCTTAAAGTTTGCTATTAACATAGCAACACTGCGCACTAATGTTGAACCATTTGCTGTATTGTACAAAGAAACATACTTTTATTCAGAGTGAAGTGAGCACCATTAAACTTTAAGCATCATGCCATGTTTGCAATTAACCATTGTCATTTCCGTAAAGCCAAATGTTTTGATAGGGGAAAAAAAGCAATTGATGTAGCCAGAACAGAACCCCAAAAGCTCAGGCTTTACACAGATCAGGTCAATAAGCAGAGAGTTCTGGATGTGTTAGAAGGCAGTGGCTTCACAACTCCTGGGACAAATTGCAGTTTGGTTAAGTACCAACAAGTGAGATCATCTTCGTATCTTTTATTTGTTGGGTTTTAATTTGTGGGTGAAGGCTGTGCTCATTAAAGTGAGGAACTCCATACGAGTTCTAGCCAAGCGTTACCATATTCTATATAATGACTTGTGTACACTTGTATCTTGCTCAAAAGTTCATCTTATTTTCCTTGGAATTGCATGGAATACTTTATTATTTAAGTATTTTGGCAATATGTACCATTTACATTTTTGGTACAAACCTGCATTTGATTACACTCGTATAGAAGATGCTTTGTCCTTCCTATTGCTCTTGTTGAATGAGCTTAGTGCCTTTTTTATTGCTTCACTTTGTTTTGATAGGTAAGAGAAATAACTGACCAGACAGCTTTGTTATTCTCTGCATTTTGAGATTTATAAGGAGTACAATTAATTTGAACTACTGTAGACCTTTAGAGCTTTCTGGTGTTTTCTGGTCATATCATGGAGTAGGAAGTATTTTCATGATCTATTTGTAGCAAGATAAGTATCTTTTTTCCTTCATTTCTTGCTTATTAATAATGACATGGCCCTTTTCTTCTTCAAATGTTGGATTAATTATTGAGCTTATTAGAAAAGTAGTGAGAAGGTCTATTCTGGTGGCAGAGAGATAACCAGTGGCTTCATGCCTTGGCCACAAGGCTAAGCAGTATCAGCTCTCTGAGGTCTGTGACAGTTAAAATACCCAGATTGTGCCTGTAAATGTTTTCCCTTTTGGAAATGTAAACTTTGGGCATTAATGCTGCCATTACCAGGGTGCTGCTGGCACTGCTCCTACATTAGAAGATAATTACTGGACTCATTCCTGACATGTAACATAGTCTTTTCTTCAGGGAGGTGGATGGACAAGCACACAGAGCTCACTGTGGAAGTACTGAAGTTGGGTAAGTTCTCCTTTTGCCTTCATTGGTGTACTGTGTGACTTCAAAAATATGTAAGGAGTTGATGGAGAAAGCATCTGTGTACTTTACATTATTAGAAAAATCTGTTTATTATACTTTGTACTGAGGTTGTTCCTATTCTTGTACCTGGTGTGCCTGGTAAACAGTTTGATTTTTGATTGCCTTTTAGGCTTTTCAGATGACCTACATGGAGCTTTTAATTTGATTTCTACTGACTAAGGTGTTTCCTTAAGCTATTTCCTGCTTTGTCACTCCATAAAAGCATATAAAATTCACCTACCTTGGATTATCACAGGTGCTATAAACCATCTAAGACTTCATAATAAATGTGTTTCCCAGATAGAGACGCGGGGTGGGGGGTGCTTGGTATGTCTTACCTCTACCTAGATGGAGAGCTAGTGCTGTGGACTGAGCCAGTGACAAATGGCAAGAAAAAGAAAGAATTACAGTGTGATCCAGGGATCATTTCTTCACTAGTCATACACCCATTTCCCATCTTTGTGTCTCAGCATTTTGACTGCCTCCTTCACCCTTTATAGCTCTTCCTCTGTAACGAACATGGTCCTATGCGTTACCCTCAAGGCATTACTTCCTCCTTAATGAAACGCCACACATTCTTGTGCACAGTGCAGGAGCTTTGGTGGACTGCCAGCTCCACTTGCTGTGTGGAGCAGGGGAAATGCACAGAAGCACAATCCTTTTCAAGCCATTCATTCCCTACAGAACATATTAACAAGTCTGAGAGCAGCTGTGCTTGCTCCGGCTGTAGGGATGGTACATCTGACAAAATGTAAGCAGCCTTTCCTGTGCCATGAGGTTCAGACTGACTACATAATTACAGTTCCTTCTCTAGCCTCCAGTAAGAAGGAAACTTAAACAACAAGCCAGCAAATTTTGGGAAGCTATGAAATTAGAGAAATCAAATGACTTTCAAAATACTTTCTTAACTCTTTATTTATAACAACACACATAAAACTGCAAAGAATAAAGCAGAAAACTTGAGCTCCTGTGAAAGACATTTTTGCACTGCATACATTGTTGAGTTAATGTGGAATACCTGTTTAAATCAGCTCTTTCTGTAGTTCCCTTGCCATACATCTTAATGTCAGCAACATCTGCAATGGAATTGCAACATGGATCAGTGCAGATTATCACCAGTTAATAAACAGTCAAGAGCGCGTTTTAGGTAGCACAAACTCTTCAGTTTATTTCTATGGATAATCCATACATGTGTTTTCAATAAAATCTTGTATTAAGTACAAAAGTTATGTACGGCATGATATGTGACTGACTTTATTACTGTCATAGTGTTTGCTTGTCCAAGATCAAATCCTACAGTTTGGTCTCCTCTTCTGATCTTCCAAATACTCCTTTCTAGTTACCAATGCTCTAGTAATGATTTGACCTCTCGACACAGATCTTGCAAGAAAGGTACTCTTGACTATATGTACATCTCTAAAATCAAGAGAGAAAGTATTAAATCATTGAATTTGGAGGATCATTCCTTAAACACTGATTCTCAGAGTTCTCTCCCATGGAGATCATGGGAGGATCTTTACTCTTAACAGTGTCATTTTAAGTCATGTCATAAAATAAGATCAAAATTCCAATAATCTCAATTGTTTCAACTGGAAGTTTTGGAATGAACTGCTGACTCAGTAAGTGTGAACTGTAGTTTGCAAAGTGGTCTCAAGGATGTCCACAAATCACAAATGAAGAGGAAATCGTATTCCCTAGCCCCAGAAGCAACTTTATATCATTCCAGATATTATGGATCTTAATGTCCATACAAAACTTCTGCCTTACCTTTGTTATCACAGGAAATACTTCTTCTGAGAGTACTGTTGCTGAAGGTGGTATTTATCCCTGATTGATTGCCTTTGAGGTGTTGGTACTTTCCATTTTATGGAAGTACTATAAAGCTTTGAACACCAAGCTTTAGAATGGCTCTAGGGGTGAACAAACAGATCATTCATTGTCTAGGACCCAAAAACCTACAGAGTGCAAACTGGGTAAATTAAACAGTGCTGCAAATCATCTAGTATTTGTAAGGGGGAAGATGGCATGCTGTAGTTTCTGCAAGCGTTCCCCACCAGGCTACTAGCTGTGTTTAGTTCTGAGTAACAGGTCAGTGTTTGCTATCAGCCCAGCAACGACCATGGACGATAGGAATAGGCCCTATCAGGTTAAGATTCAGTTACAACCAGCTTCATTTTTTGGGATCTTGTGAGCCCTTGAAGTGCTCTCACAGTAAGTGCCAACACTGAGTGAATATTGTTGAATCTAATAACCCACTGGTTCCAAGGAAATGTGTTTAGAGTCAGAGGTCTTTGTAGTAATGTCCAGTTTTGGGCCCAAAGTACCTGACAATCACAGTTTTAAACCAGTGTAACTTTACTTTACCCTGTGTCCAAAGAGATTTGCCCTCCCACCTGTGTTTAAGGGCACTTGCAAGAACTGGATGGGGCTTACGTGGAAGTGTCACATAAGCCTTTTTGTATTTTGAGTGGTAGCAGCAGTGGATGACTGCACGTGCAGTATGTCTTCTTATAGTAGCACTATTCATTATTATTATTGATTATCATTATTTGTTAGTAATAGGAGAATTAATAGAAAAATCAGTATTAATTGCATCTTCGGTGGTATGTATCTGTAGTGTCTGTTATCCCGTGTGTGAACAAATGATGCATTCGTTCTTAGAGCAGCACGATGCCACTGTGATTACAGATGCCTTAAATAAGTGCTACGTAAGTGTGTGTGTAATGCATCCAGCTCCCTCATGAGTGGTAGGTGATACTGTGTTCTTCAGTGGTATGTCAAGGCATTATAATACAACATCTGAATGATGTAATGGTCATTTTGGCTACATTCCATGACCTAAAACAGTAAAGGAAATGAAAGAAACCACCAGACTGTGTTTATATTGCTTGCAAGTCTGTCTCTGCCGGGACACTCAGTGGACTTTTTGCAGGCACCGAGTCTGAATGTTCCATAACTCAGTGTGAAAGCAGAATCAGCATTGCATAAGCATTGACAATATAGAGCAAAATGTGTGTAGATGAACAGATAACCAAGACTGGAAGGTTTTCTTGCATGCAGTCAGCCTAGCCCTCTTGGAGATGAAAATAAGCAGCTTTCTGAGGTTTTGAATGCAAATCTTGATGCTACCCACTGGAATTTACCAAATAAATAAGTAAAATCTCCCCAAACGCAGCCCTGCTTGAAGCACCGAACATGCCAGTGGCAAGTTCTGCTTCAGCCTCCAAGAGATAAAGTCCGTTAGCATGTATCGGTTAGTCTAATTTATTCAGTGTCATTGCCGTATCACAACCTTCTGTTTGATTTTCTTATAAACTAATAATTTCCTGAATGAACTAATACTGCCAGAGCCACGAGTACCTCTGCCTTGTAGAAGTTTTTTATTGTTGTGTATGCAACTAAATTGAAATATCTTTCACTTGAAATATTGACTTTAATATCTCATTTGAAAAATTCATGAAGCCTTTGATGTTAAATCCATACTCAATTTAGCCAAATGCCATTAGAATATGCAATACGCCTGAATACAGAGAGCATTATTGTCTGTGTTTCTGCAGAAGAATTACATTTTATGACTGTAACGTCAGGATCTTTTTTGGATTTGTTCACGAAGAAAAGAAAGGGAAAGGCAGCACATTAGAAGCAAAATGAAAAGTGGTATTGATTAGGCTCTCATTTACCCTCTCTTTGCTTCAGTCCCTAAATGCATGGAAATAAGGGTTGTGCCACAGCAAGTAACAATGCTCTGTAATGAATGGAACAATCTTTAGAAAATTAGTGTAAACATGTATGATAGTGCACAGATGTTGCTCCTAGGAAGTGGCGTACATTTATTTTACATCTCCATTTACATACGTCTCTTTATTTCCTAATAGGATCATAATAGAAACATGACAATAGTTAATGATTTCATAAAACATGGGATGTAAAGCTGACAGAGAGGTAGAACATTAATTGAAACCTATAGCTATAGTACATTAGAATTACATCTCCTAAATGACTCATGGTAAAAATATCCCTCTTTTGCAGAAGAGGACAAAGACAGGTAAAAACCCAGGCTTTCAGCAAATTAATTTCTTTTCCAGTAAAACAGAGACTGGCAAATGTTGCAAAATCTCCTGAGTGCTAATAGAATGGTATTTGCCTTTAGTAATTTATGGGCACTTTCCCCCCAGCTATCGATCACAGCTGAAAAAAGTAAACTGCATTAACATTTTAGGCAATAATGGCTCCAGAAAATGTTTGATTTTTATCACTACCAAACCTGATGTCACGCTGCTTGCTTCTCTAGCAGATGTGGCAATGTGGAGTGTATCCATCCTGGCTCTGCCTGAATGAACGGGATGTAACCTAGTGCTTTGAGCTTGTTTCGTTGTCTTAAAGCATAAAAAGGAGGTTGATGGCACAAGTCAGGATACTGCTCTGCACTATAGCAGTGTAATGCGGTGTTTGGAGGACCTTGGGGTCTATGAGGATTAAACTACCGTGATAAACCAAGTGGAGGAGGAAGGGAGAACTGCTCTCTGCCACCATCTCCTGGCCAGTCCTCGGGACATAAGCAGCCTCTGCTTCATCTCCTCCTGCGTGGTTTGCCAAGTCTCCTGATGCCTCACCCAAGAGGAGTCAGCCATTTGAAGCAAGCTCATACTACCAAAAACCTGGATCTTTACAAACTCATGCAGATGTATGTTAGAGTGGACAATGCAAAATGCCAGACCAAGGGAGCTGAAACCTCTGTGAATGAATCCAGAGCATGAGAGCCTATGATTGTCAGTGACCAGCTCGAGTACATGGAGCTCTGCCTGGGGATGGAGGAGAAGCCTGTGGGTCAGAATTAAAGGGAGGGCAGGGACAGGTGACATTATAGTGGGCACTCGGGAAAACTGAGCAGATGAGGCCCTCTGTTGACAGGTAGGAACAGCCTCACATTCACAAACCTTGGTCCTCATGGGGGACTTCAACCACCCTGATATTCATTGGAGGGGGCAACACAGCAGGGCATAAACAATCTAGGAGGTTCCTGGAATGTGTTAATGATAACATCCTTCTCCAGGTGATAGAGGAGAGGTGCTATGCTGGACCTTGTCCTCACCAAGAGGAGGTGGGGCATCTCTTGGGACTGTGGGGGATTCCACCACCAGGAGAGGCTGGTGGGTAATCTGTAACTCAAGGGCAGTGTTGGCTGCAGTGTCCATGAACTGGTAGAGTTCATAATCCTTAGGGCAGTGTGGAGGGTGCACAGCAAGCTCACTGCCCCGGGCTTCAGCAGAGCAGAGTGTGGCCTCTTCAGGGATCTGCTTAGTAGGGAGCCATGGGATAAAGCTCTGTAGGGAAGAGGGGCCCAAGAAAGCTGGCTAATATTCAAGAATCACCTCCTCCAGGAGTGATGCATCCCAAGAAAGAGGAAGTAAGGCAGAAAGGCCAGGAAGCCTGAATAGCTGAGCAAGATGCTCCTGCATAAACTTGAGCACAGAAAGGAAGCCTACAGATAGTGGAAGCAAGGACAGGTAACCTGGGAGGAATACAGAGGAATTGTCCTAGCAGCCAGGTGATTGATTGAGGAGGTGGTTGGTGGCAGCCAACATGGCTTCACTAAGGGCAAACTGTGCCTGACAAATTTAGTACCTTCTACAATGGGGTTACAGCACTGGTGGATAAGGGAAGAGCAACTGACATCATCTACCTGGACTTTGCAAAGCCTTTGACATTGGTAATGAGTCTCAAATGAGCTTGTGAGACTGGTAATGAGTGGTGTTCCTCAGGCAGGAAGGAAGGTGTCCCTGCCTATGGCAGGGGTTTGGAACTAGATGATCTTTAAGGTCCCTTCTAACTCTAACCATTCAATGATTTATATATTGCAGCATGAAACAGCTTCATTTCAATGTTCGTTAACACCTTTTTAACCTCAAGGTTAGTGTGAGATCTGTTCCCTGCAAACAAACCCTTGTGGGTTGCTTGTGCAGAAACTCTACATAGATGCAGAGAGGCAGCTTGAAGAGTTAAATGTGACTTGCAGTTTACAAGGTTTTGTTTTGCTTTTGTTGATGTCCTTCCATTTAACTGTTGCTCTTGTACATTAAGTGTTTGGG